TTTATTTATTTATTTATGAGACTTATATACCACTTTAAGTGCAAGCACTCTCTAAGCGGTGTACACCAGTAAGCAATGTGTATGTGTGTGTGTGTGTGTGTGTATATATATATATATATATATATATGTGTGTGTGTGTGTGTGTGTGTGTGTGTGTGTGTGTGTGTGTGTGTGTGTATATATATATATATATATATATATATATATATATATATATATTTACATTGCCCCCAACAATCTGGGTCCTCATTTTACCTACCCCGGAAGGATGGAAGGCTGAGTCAACCTTGAGCTGGTGAGATTTGAACCACTGACCTGCTGAACACATTCAGCTAAAGTGGCCTGCAGTACTGCACTCTAACTGCTGTGCCACCTCGGCTCTTTGTTTTTTTTTTTTTCCTTAAAAATAATGAGCACAAGATTGTTACTCAACCCAAATGGGGCAGAGACAAACATCTCCCCGGGGCCACTCAAGACAAAATACAGGTAGTCCTCAACTTACCACCACAGTTGAGCTACAGGTTTATGTTGCTAAGTGAGAAATTTGTTACGGGAGTTTTGCCCTCTTTTACGACCTTTTCTTGCCACAGTTGTTAAGTGAATCACTGCAGCTGTTAAATTCCCAAATAAAAGCAGACAGAACAATACACTAAAAAAAAAAAGATAAACCAAAGACCCAAGCACCAATGATGACTCCCAAAACAAATGGCAGTCAAACCAAACTCTATGGAAAGATGAAACAAAGATTCCTTCAGATTTCACTCTCACCTGTTCGGAGTGCCAAGTCAAAGCCAAAACTAGCTGGACTGGCTAGAGCAGGGGTCCCCAACCCCCAGTCCCTGGACTGGTACCAGGCCACAGCATGCCAGCAACCAGTCCACACAATCAAGCAAAGCCCCATCATTGGGATGCAGGCAGCACACAAACCACGCATCCTCCGGTCCATGGAAAAACCTCTCTCCACAGAACCGGTCCCTGGTGCCCAAAAGTTGGGGGCCACTGAGCTAGAGGAAGGGTGTCCATCCAAAATTATCCTTCCAAAGATTGAGGAGAGTTTTGCATGTGCACAAATATGCACTCGAGAAACGTCAGCCTTACCACCAGTTGCAAGTCGTGAAGTCCTGAAAGAAACATCCTTGTTTTTCAGGACAATAAAAAGCATTGAGCAGACAAATCTTAACCCTCCCATAAAGTATAAAATGATAAAGAGTCCTTTGGACAGAGAAAAGATAGCTCTGTTCTTTTCTGCTTGGCTTTGTTCCTTGTTCTCCTATATGTAGCTGGGAAGTCCCTGCTATTCTGGCTTTGCTGCACCCTTAAAATAGTCATCCTGCAGACCTAAGTCTCACTAGCATCAATGGAGGACCAGCCAAAGGACAGAATGAAACAACTGTGTTGTGATAAACTGGCAAGTTTTCACTATGTTTCGTAGATGAAATCAGCCTCACATAGTTGGTGCACCAGTCAAGTGTTCCTTTTTTTGTGTGAAAACTCAAAAGGATTTTTCTGGGGCTTGTTGACCCACCAAAGACCTAACTGCCATCAGCAGTAAGTTACCTTCTTCCACCAGGAAACTCTACAAGGTAAGTGCATTTAATTTCTATTTACTTTCCAGTCTTCCTTGGGTGTAACTTGGACTACAAAGAACCCCACATTTTTCTGGTTCATCCCAAGCCCTTACAGAAGAACCACCGTATTTTTAAAACACAGCCAGCACAAAAAAGGAATAATTAGAGATGTTCATTGCCAGCCACTATCCGCTTGCAATGGGCCCTTGGGTACTAAATAATTACCCACTTTGTGTGGTAAATTGGGATCAGGTGTTAACTGCTTGAGACGTATCCTCCAAAGAGCTGGTAAAGCCGAATAGAGATTTGTTTTTAAACCAAACTTGGGAAAATAGGTCAAATATGTATCAGTGTTTCATCTCTCTAGAGCAGTGTTGGCAACTTGAAGATATGTGGACTTCAACTCCCAGAATTCCCCAACCAGCATAGCACATCTTCATTCTGGGAGTTGAAGTCCACAAGTCTTACAGTTGCCAAGGTTTGATAACAGAAGTGGACAGCCATTACCTTGTTCCCACATATTTTCAGCCCTGGGTTTTCTGGTGGTCTCACCTGCAAAGACCAGACAGGTCCTCCTTAGCTTTTGAAGACCAACCAAAGTCAGTGAGATGCTGCCACCTAGCTGGTCCATCTGACCAAGCTCAAAGGAACCGGTGGGGAAAGTCTAGATGGGGAAAGTCTTTCTGAATACATAGTTTGTGGTGGCTGATGCCAAAGAGTCTGAAGTAATTGACCTAGCATAACCTAACTGCATTAAAACAGAGAGACAGAACCTACCAGCTGAGTAAATGTGCTTGGTTGAGGGCAATCACATCATGGCTAGAGAAGTTTTGATCTACCCACTGGGGACCAGAAGATTCCAAGCTATAGCTTGTAATGGGTTTGAATAATCATCAATTCTTGTGTCCAAGGGACACTCCCTAATGACTCAAAGTCCTCTGAACAGTCTTCCTGCCCTTCCCCGTTCCTTGGTCCTCCTCATCCTGACATCACCCAGGGATGTTTAGATGAACGGATGGATGGATGGATGGATGGATGGATGTGTACAGGGGAAACTCACTACTATAGCCTTCACCAAAGCCTACCTCTCTTTGTAAATGTTTGTCCTATTTTGTCATTGTGCAGCTCAAGCAATGCCCAACGAACAAGGATTCTACAGAGGGCTGCCCCCCCCTTCCAGGATTTTCTACAAACTCAACAGTTGTAGGTCCATCATTGATAAACTCTAGCAATCATCAAGAACCATACATTGGGAGATGATGGGTCCTTCCAGTGGGCTTTCT